ACGATGGTATTACCGAGTTCATGGGCTTTCCTATTTGGGCATTTATCCTGCATTGCCTGATTGGGCCGTTCTTTGGGCTATCTGATTTGGAGATCCTCCAATTGTACTTTATTCCTTGGGCTTATTCGATTTGGGCTGAACTTTTGTATGTCAACATCTCTCAAGGATCATAATTTACGACTCTATATGCTGACTATCATTTTGATAAGACAGTTTTCTCAACATTAGGAAGAAGAAATTAATTAGCTGGAATGGACACATGAATGTATCATAATATGTTATCTTTATCTTTGTACATGATATTGTGGAATAGATATTTGAAAGATACCCTAATTTCATAATGCACTTACCTAAAAAAGATTAACCAAATTTCATATATGAGCTATAAATGATCTAATCAAATTGACATCGTGGAATCACAATATGCTAATACTATATGTGGTAAGTGTATGGTACACCTAAAGTATGCCGATATTCGATTTCAATGGTGAAAATTCCTAAGAAAAATGAGTAAATAAGAAAGATCTTTTAATTGATGAGACATATATTGAAAGTATATAAACATAACTAATTGTAAAACCTTAGAAGAGGTTCATTTACCTAAAAATAGTTGAAATGGAGGGATCTCTATAAGTTATGTCTCTATGGGAAAGAATTGGAAATTGAAAATGAACCATTGTTGTAACACTTTAATAGCGAGAATGTTGAAAGAAATACATCTAGGAATACTAATGTAGAAATGATTGGCCAAATAAAAGGAAGCAATCCAAATAAAATTGAATTTAGTGGTGAAACATGAAATTTTTAGGCTTGTTGTTTGAACGCTTAAATGTGTAAATTTAGTACTACTTTTGTGAAAATGAAATAATAATGACTACCGCAAAGACTTAAAATAAATAATTTTCTTGTGATGGATGAATGACATCACAAGTAGAAATCTTTTTAGTTTGACAATGCTTGAAATTTTATACGTATCTAATAAATATAGTTATGATCAATCGATATGGCACACTTGATAATAATATATATATATATTACATTTCTGAAGAGTTTAATATGTTTGAAGCATATAGTTCAACTTTTCAAGGAACTAATTTGATCAAAGTGCAGAAAAAATTTGCAATCTTAACTTATTTAGTACAATGTCTTGGTTGAGTATATGATAAAAATAGTACAAGTGATGACCATGTATGCTCAAATGTTTCTAGCACAATTCAATATAGGAATTTGTCGTGAATGTTGTTGATGATTTAAACTTTATTGGAGCATCTAAAGGAAATTGATTACTTAAAGGAAGATATAATGATTAGAGACCTAAGAAAATAAAAAATATGCTTCGACCTGAAGATTGAGCTTTTAGCGAATTGAGTTCTTGATCACGAGTCAATTAATTGGAAAGTCCTGAAAAATATTTTATATAGAAAAATGACACATTCATTTGATACCCGGTGATTATTTGTTCACTTGAAGTGAAAAGAAAATCATTTTCTCCTTTGAGATGATAATAAATAAGTCATTGTTCATGAAGTACCATATCGTAGTACAATAGAAACAATATTTTATCTTGTTACATTAGTTTATGATTCAGGACTAGTTGATTATAATGATGATGTAGTGCTTTATTTGATCCTTGTAAAGTTCATCGTCCAATTTTCAATTTACATATGATTATCATGATTTATGGGACAGAAAGGTACACAAATGCACTATGCTATAAATACTTAAGAAGTTGATAAATTAGATATACATATTTCAAGTGAACGAAGGTAAGTAAAGATGTATTGTACTTTTTTTCTTGTTTGAAGTTGTCTCAGCGGTTATTTCTGGCAGAGTTTTTAGCCCTTGTTAAAGCCCCATTATAAAGAAAAATTTTCAAAAAATGTAATATGGAATAATATTTTTGGTAGAATGTGTGGCTTAAAAAGAATTTTTTTTTTCACTTACGTATAATATTATTTTATTGAAAAATGTGTTATTGAAAAGAAATGGAAGAAAAAAGTATTAAAATTTGAGGAAGTTACAAAAAATGTCCGTTATGATATAGTCATTTGCAAAATTTCCAAAAATTTTCAATGTTCATTTTTGCAATTATTTGGATAAGAGTACCCCTAAATAACTTTCACAAGTAGATAAATTAAAATGATGTTCGTGACATTTCAAATGTCGTTCTTGATATTTAAATCCGTTTATATTTCAAAAGTAGAAATGTCAAATCACAATATTAAATGTTCTCGACATTTCAAATGTTGTTTTCGACATATTAAATGTCTAGAATGAAATTTCATTCCGAACATGATATTTTTCTGCGCTTTAAATGTTGTTCTCGACATTTCTGTGTTTAACATTAATTGTGATTTGACGTGTGCATTATGACATTATTTATTCTTTCATTAAGAGTAAAATATGGGGAATTTAAACAAATGTCACTAAAATTGAAGATGCAAAAAAAATTTGGACATTCACCAATTTCTTCCAAGAATGTCAATTTTTCCCTACAAAATGTCCACTTTACCCTTTAACACCTTTTTGGAGCTATAAATGCTTGATTTGAATGCAATTAATGTTATGATGTGATTAATTTATTTTTGCTTTAAATTTAATATTGAAGATATGATATTATATTGTATAATAAGATTTTTTTGATTAAAAAAGGGGTGAAATCTTTACAAAATACACACACACATAAGAATTGAAAGAACTTATTCTTCTTCATCATCTCCACTCCATCATCAACAAGGAAAGCCATTGACAAATTTGAAAGGTGAGGTAGTAGAAAAAAGTTCATCTCATGTCATAATTGACTACTTTAAATGTTCAATACAATATGATCATATTTAAATGAACCCTTTCAATCTCTTATTCATTGATGTAGTTAATTTTTGGTATATTTTAGAAAGAAAAATTATACCAATATTATATAGAAAATGTGAAGTATTCCATATATAATTCAACATTTAATGAAGCATTAAGTGATACCTTGTTCATTTCTAAAAAGATACTGTGATATTATAGTTCAGAATTTATTATGGCCTTTCCTGTTTTCAATAAATTCGTCAAACAGTGAAGCACATGGAATTTATCTTTTCGAAAATTATGGCAGTAGAACTGTCGAGCAGTATCTTGGAAACTGTCGGGTTAGACATTTTAACTGTCGAACTCGACATTTACTGACTATCGGGATAGAAAATGTAATTGTCGATTTCGACACCTGAAAACTGATCATCTTTTATATATTTGGTAGTACATGGATGTAAGTATTTTCGTGTGCCAATTTGATGTTATGAAATGTCGACATATGAATGTGCAGAATTCTCACTTTTACAGTCCCAACATTTTAGGTATGAGTCATGATTTCAGATTCATCGTGTCGCATGGAGGAAACTTCGTTCACTCAGATGATGAATGGAAGTGGTGAGGGGACAAAACCATTTCCATTTTAGTGTCGAGAAATATTACCATAGCAGACTTGTGTTACGATTGAAGGAGAAACTTGGTATCGTTGAATCCCGCAATGCAATCAAATTGAAGTTCAAAGTCCCGAACTTGAATCTACCTCCGGCAGAGATACGCGACGATGAGGATCTACAGTGGTACATATCTGTTCATAAGGAAACTACACTCTGCATCACATATATGGTATCCGAGCTCCCGATTGTTGGTATGGCAACAGATGCAAACTGTGAAGGGAACTTGTTCAGCCCAACGGAATGTCCACTGAATGTACAACATGACGAGATGAATCATTAGCACAGTGTGTCGCAAACCGAACCACCCGAACCTCCAATTGAGCGTATAGAGGCTACAGCATCCGCTGAACACTTAGAGAACCCATTACATGGTACAGATCGTGCTATTATTGCTGAAATAAACGAGACAATGTCATCAAATTCCAGACGTTCGTGCACAGATGAGTGGATTACAGCTGTAAATACATCGGTTCTCGCCAAGAAGCAAATATTCTTTACCAAGAAACAGTTGTACTCGAAGCTTCATGTACTTGCTTTGCAAGAGAAGTTCCAATTTCGGGTAAGCAGGTCAAGCTTGAAAATGTTAACAGTTGTCTGTGTGGATGATAATTGCAAGTGGATGCTACGTACTTCTACTGTCAAGTAATCTACAATCTTCATGATCCGTAAGTTCATAGCAGTTCACACATGTTCCCTTGATTTTCGTCGTAATGCACATCGGCGTGCCACTAGTGCTGTAACTGCAGAGCACATTTTGGGAAAATTGGATACTCCATACCGATCATATCTGCCTACTCATATTGCACGTGATATGGAACGTGAATTTGGTGTGAAGATTAGTTATAGCAAAGCACGTAGAAGGAAGCTCCATGCCTTAAATATGCTACATGGCACACCAAGGGACAGTTTTCAGAAATTATCTTCGTACTGTCAACTCGTAGGAGAAAGTAACCCGGGGACCGTTACCCACATCGAAGTTGATTCTTGTAATAGGTTTCGTTACTTCTTCGTAGCTTTTGGTGCAAGCATTCGTGGATACATGCAGTACTTGAAACCCGTTATCTATGTTGATGGCAGTCACTTAAAAGGTCCATACAAAGGTATACTCCTAGTGGCAACTGCCCAAGATGGTAACAAACAGATTTATCCATTGGCATGGGGGATCGTGGATGCTGAAACCAATAAATCGTGGAAGTGGTTTTTGTCGAACTTGAAAGACCTTATAGGGGATTCAGAAGAACTCGTGTTCGTTTCAGACAGGAAAAAGAGTATTCAGAAAGCTATTTCTCAGTTGTTTTCGTCGTCTCGGCATGGTTGTTGTATATGGCATATGGAAAAGAACCTAATACAGCGATATAACAACGCAAGCCTATTATTTCTATTCAAACGAGCTACTACAATTTTTCGGGTCGAAGACTTCGAACGACTCATGGGACGATTCGTAGAGTGAGCGAAAGAGCGCATGGGTACTTAGAGCGAGCAGGATATTCATTTTGGTCCAGAGCACTATTTATTGGACACCGTTACAATATTATGACAAACAACAATGCAGAGTCGTTGAACTCGATGTTGAGAGAAGCCCGGTCGTTACCGATAACCTACTTGGTTGAACACATTCGGAGTACTATGCAGAAGTGGTTTTACGAACATCGAGCAAATGTGAAAGAATGCTGTACCTTATTGACACCAAGGATGGAGAACGAGCTACGGACGACTTTCGAAAATGGAACTAGGCTTCGAGCCCATGTCCTGACAAACAACTTGATGCAAGTTGGAATATCCAACGACACGGACATAGTTGACTTGTCCGAAAAAACCTGCACATGTCGTGAGTTCTAACTAAACCGTATGCCATGTCTTCATGCAAGTCATGCTGCTTGCTTTAGAGGGAAGATGTTGTACGAGCTTTGCTCCAGTTATTATTCATCGGACTACTGGAAGGGTGCCTATAGCGAAACTATATATCCTGTTTCGAGGGAAGTGGATTGGGTTGTTCCGAGCTTAATTACATGTACTCCTATTTTCCCACCACTCATACGTCGTCCTCCAGGTAGACCACCAACCCGCCGTAAGCGTTCTAGGTATGAGTATGCATGGTCTACCAGAAAATGTACCCGCTGTGGTAGAGTTGGTCATAATCGGACCACATTTTCAAACCCCCGTGTATCACATGCTCCTTAAAGATTTGCAGGTTAATAGACGTTGTATGTTAATTATTCCGTACTACATCAAACATTATGAAGTTATGATTTACAGTTTGTGATCATTAACGTTCTTGCATGTTGCGCATCCTGTTGTGCACATAAAAATTTCACTCTCTGTCCAGACGTAGTAAACATCCCGCCCAGTTCAAATGTCGGTCCCGATAGATGTGTTACTTATTCTCGATAGTTGACGGAACCTTGCACTGCACTCACGGTCTGCGTCACACATACATGTTGTGACCTCTAAACACGAGAACGAAAAATGTTTGATACTGTACATATATTTTTTTTTCCATTTCGAAACGCAATCTTCTATCCCCCTACAGATTTACTATCATTAGCATCATCTTAAATCGAAATTAAAGGTAGTGCAAAACGCAATCTTGAATCCCGAAGAAATATACAATCATTTGCGTCATCGTAAATCATGGATTAAAGTTTGTCCATGATACACACCTTTCACAATAGCCGTTTTACATACTGCAAAATACATAACCATTTTTGTACATATTATCCTTACTGCCCGACAGTTGACATGTCATACCCGACAGATAGTCTCAGTAATTCTAAATAGTTCGACCGAAAAACGCAAAAAACATGATACGAATTGCATCTTAGGGACATGTTCACGTGGACTTTTTGGTATTGTCTTAACTAAAGTCATCCCTACAAAATACCTTACTATACAGTACTTATTCACTACATTCCATGGGTGTCACTTTAGTCGTCGTCCACGACTGAACCATTGTCCCCGCTATCCTTACCTGACTCGTCGGAAGAGATGATAATTACCGCATTTGGGGGATCGTACGCCATCCAGTCGTCCTCATCGTCGGAATCTCCCTCGTATCCGACATCCAGCTCGAACTCCTCATTGAGGACTCCATTCGATGATTACGCACTCTCGTTGAAAACAACTTCTAAGTTGGAAAAAGGAATAGGGAAAATGGCTCCCCTCCCAATACGAGGGTTAACTTCCTCCTCATCTGACGAAATATAAATTGGAAAAAGCGGAGATGAACCAAGAACTGGCAGTGGCTCGTTCATGTTCAACGGTTCGTTGCTTCTTGTGGAAGAACGTATAGTAGTACTGAAGGAATGATAAGTGTCTGTGAGAAGGTGAATGTGCGACAATGGTCTTGAAGGAACTTGTTTGTAAGTGAGAATGAAGTCCCACAGTATTTATAAGCTAATTGAAGAGGAAACAATTATGGTCTCCATCTACCCAACCACCAAGTCCAATCTCCTTATAAATTTGAAATGCACTTGGTGTGACGGTTGAATAAATTAAGTGTACCTTTATCCCCCATTTCCCCATACTTAGTACAATGTTAAACACTGTTTAATCATGTGCACAATTAAGAAAATGTCCATATCTGCAACAAAAAACTGCTCAATCAAATTGCTACTTTTAATTTACCATAGTTGTAATGGTATAGGTTCTCACACATATGGGTCATCATCGCAACACACATGGAAGACGAACAACGAAATAATTATTTTTACTCAATTCATTGATTTATGAATTACTTTTACCGTGGTTGTCATGCTCTTGACACTTGTAACGACTCATCTTCTCGTTGCATCTCATGTATGTGCCTTAATGCCTTACTTTGAGAATTTATCATTATAATATCGTCCCAAATTAAAGTTATAGTGAAGACTAGATATAATTAGAACAACAGATAAGTACATACATAAGCACGCAACGAAAAATATGCGCACATACCTGCACATGTATTTAAAGCATATTTGACAGTGTTTACATCATATTATGTCCACTACATAAATTTATCAAATATAACATTCACTATTTAACATAAGCAACACGAGTGTAAGAAGCGTAACACAGATTAGAAAATCTTAAAGACTCGAAGTATATTACTATATCTATAATAAGATTGGATCGAATATCAACAATATCAACAAAACAGTACTTACAAAGCATTTTGGGAAATTGACATGTTGCATACGCTTGTTCCCCTCCTCCAAAAGAAAATAAGCGCACACAATATGTCCAACAAAAACATATATCCAACAACAAAATGAACCTGACTGATACAATCAACAAAATTAAAATACCAGACACAATTCATAAACACTACAACTACCGATCAGCCAAGCAACATAAAATATGAGGAATCTGTCCACGTATCACCACGGTACACGAGTAATTAAAATGTAATGTAAAACGAATTCAAACAGAAGTTATTTATCCAACAAGTTAACATCTGTCACCACCTCCACCAAATCGCTGACAGGCTATTACCAACTACAACACCACCGTCGTGCTGTCCCGACAGTTCATACTTTTTTTACTTCTTTGTTCGCTTCGCTGCCCTTGTATACGGAATCCTGGCCGCAGGAGCTAGACGTCGCACCCGTGCCGAGCGCCGACTCGTCGTAGGAACTCCGTGTCCTGGTTCGGCTACACTGGCGGGAACAGGGACTTCAGCAAGATCGCCTACGAGAATTCAAAAGGAGGGGGGAGTTAGTGACCATAAATGCCCTTCACGTACCATACGTAACATACAATAAGTGATGCAGAGAATGAACTTACCATCACCATCTGTAACATCGCAACCTTGTAAGTCGGCATCGTTGCTCAGCGCCGTATGTGAGGGCTCCATGGCTCCTCCATCTGATATTACAACACATATGTAATTGCATATGTGTTCGATGTTTGCAGTTGGAAGATAATGGAAGTGTACAGGAAGAAAGAAAATGAGAAAAATAATTCTCATCGAATATAGTAGGGAAAAATCGTAGCACATGACAACGTACCTATCTGTTCGTCGGTTGCTACAGGCAGTGGGTCGTGTACGTTGTCCGGGCAAGCCGCGATATCTCAATTTAATCTTGTCAGTGCGAATGATTCTGAACACGAGCTGCTGGATGAGCTGGGCAGAGAATTGAATCTCTACAACCTTGGCCAGATACTCGAAGGGGGAGTTTCGAAACTCGTCGCGCTGTCGGTCATCGAAAAGGTCCATCACTGTCTTCACATACTTCAAGTTGCTCCTCTGCGAAATATGGGCCCGCAACCTTGCCTCTTCTGGAATACAATAATCAAACTCCATCAGTCCTGTGTCCTGCAAGATGCATTCATAAAACTCACTGGGGTTACTGGATAAACTTAAAGATATTGTATCATAAATAACAGTTTAATGAAACACACTAATGCATGGACACACTCAACTGTCGAGAAAAACTGACTACAACCATCGGTACTGACAGATGATCTGTCGATACCGACAGTTGATGTCCAAACATGCAAGAATGTTGGCCTAACTGTCGAGAAAACCTGAGCTCTACTGTCGGGAACGACAGTTCAGTGGGAGGCATTGAACTTCTAAATCATTGCTAAATCACTTCCAATTACGTAAAATTTCTCTAAGATAACTATGTAGGTCGTCAAAAGCTATCCATTCATATATAGAATACTGGATTTTATAGTCATCACAAAACAAAATGTTCAGAAATAAAGCAACTAACAAAAAAATAAAGGAAAAGACATAAACGAATGCAAGCACTTTTTCACAAAACTAATATCATTCCATCATCCAACCCAATTCACAAATACCAGAAGCAAATCATGAAACGTCGCCAGACTCCAAATAATTTCATGTACAATACAACACTCAGGTTACATGATTTTAAATCAATTCATCAAACACAAGATGAATAGGTCATCTAACTAATCTTGATTTTAGTAAAAAGTAAAATATTGAAACATTACAGAACTCAAAATTTCAACATAACTAAAAAAACATAAACGATATGGCTTTGAGCTTCACCTTCTTCAACAACATAAATTATGTATCCGAAATCATAGATTCACAATTCTCATTTGAATGCCAAATTGCCGACTAAATGAGAACATAAATCATAACTCATAGAAGTCATAAATATAAAATTACAGCAAAACTAAAACACAATTTTCAAATTGTTATGAAACAAGACTGTGTTGGACAAACTCAAAACTGCACCTCAAACTCAACAAAACCAATCACTTCAAAGTAAACCAAAGTAAGCAACATTTTATTCCTTCAATGAGAATTAAGAATCCATCAAAACCCCCTTTGCAAACGCCACTTCAAATTCTCCACTTACACAATATAGAAATTATATCTTCTTATTATAGTATGCATCCATACAACTGAACTCATTATTTCACACATGAACACACGTTAAGAAATCACAAAATTTTATGGAATCCTTGTTCAATTATTTGTTCAACATTAATATTATCATATAACAAAATATATATCTAGCTTCAATAAGAACAAAAAATATGTTCAATAAAGTATCGCACCCACTATTCAACAAAGAGTCACACCCACTATTCAACAAATATCGAACACAATGCTTCACAGGGAGGGGAAAACATATGTGTTAAACTCAATAACAAAAAATCAGAAATAACCATTCAGAATAAACAATCAATGGACGGCCATCTTATACCCTATATCTCATTTTACATACTGCGAAAGTCTAAAACTGCAAAATTTCCCGGTTCTCAAAATGCACTATACGAAAGATGGGTGGATGGGTAGATGCCTATGAAAAAAGTGGGAAGTCAGAAGATGGGTGGATTTACCTTCGCTTCTGTTCGGTTTCTCTGGCAGTCGCAAGGGAGAAGACAGCCTTTGATGTTGTGCTCAGTTTCGGGCGATTCGACTAACAATGGGAGTGATTTCGACGTTGACGATCGTCGTCCAAGGCTGGGAGTGAGGTCGGCGATTGCAGAGAGAGGGTCGGTGATTTCGGTGAGAGGCGCTTCGACGTTTGGCTTTCTCTTCCTTCATCTTGCTTTTTTTTCTTTGTTTTTCTTCTCCTCACACCTCCTCCCTGACACAATTCTGTCTAGTCAAATCTACAATTAATGCAAAACCTGTAAGGTATTACATTTATGCAGGGGGGTAAATTAGTCCAAAATTTTCATAAATTGCCATATTTGTAATGTCAGAAAAAGGATGACATTTGTGTAACTAAAAATCAAGATTTTGACATGTGGTGTAATTTCCACAATAGAGAATTTGGTATCAAATTTGGCTATTTTTACAAAAATTATCGAAAGTGAATATTTTTGAATTGACATAAATAAAATTTGACATATATGCAACTGTCATTAAAATTTTAAAGAGTGTGGCTTAATGAATTTACTTTTATAACATATTAATAAAAAAAGAAAAAGAAAAAACCAATATACACACTTAAGTTATCCCTTCACACATTACACCTGTCCACTCGAATCCCACAATCTTTCCTAGTGACAACACGTCCATAACACAAACTCGAATATCGCTGAGTCACCGAGTCACTGATCCCAGGTCGGTCCGGTGAAAAAGCAAATTTTTTTTTATTCAAATGGAAAATCATTGGACTCTCTGAAATTATTTGTTTATTAAACTAAACTGGAAGGATCGAATTCTTCACTCACTGTCGAACTCGCGAAATTTCATATTGGTATGTTTTAGATTTATGTAAACCCCCTTTTCCAGCACTTTCTCTACCTATATTTTGTTGATTTCAATCATATGTAATTACATATACGTCTTGTGAATATTTGAATGTTTAAAATTATGATTCGCTTACGTATTCCATTTTTCCTTTAATTAATATATTCGTAATTTTTAAATTTGGCATTTACACATTTTACTATCAAAATGGAAAATTATGTGAAAAAAAACTAATGACGATAATCCTCATCCGTTACCATGTTTTGGTTGTGTCCATGCTCGCATATAAGATATGTATGTATTGTTGGATGGACTTTTCTGTAAAAGGGATGCAAATACGATGAACAAGGGCCTTGGATATAGGCTGATTTTTATGCCATATGTGGCTTTGAGCTGTTAAGTCTTTAAGTTGAGGTTTGATGGTAATATGAAATCTTTGGATTTGATAACTGTATAAAAGTGTAGTGTTCATATAGTTGTGGTGCTATTGAAAAAGAAAATATGTATGGCAAATGAGGTTCCAGTTGCTTCGAAAATTTGCAGTCCCCCCCCCCCCCCCCCCCCACCTGGGCCATTAGGGCTTGTAAGAGATTCTTCATTACTGTAGAACGTTTCTGGAGAAACTCAAGTGGATGGGTAAACTGCGGGGATGGAGGTGGAAATATTTTTTGGGTTTGAGATAAAGGGGGAAAAATAAAAAAGAATAAAGTGAAAACCATGAGTGATGTGCAAATTTCATTTAGTGAAAATTCATTTTTATATGTGGATTTGAACTACTGAATAATTTGAGAAGCTGTTTTATGTTTCTCCTTTCTTACAGACACGTATATTAGCGAACAATCTTTCCATTGCTATCTGCAGTGCAGCAAATGCGATTAGTTGACAGATATTAAATTTAGTTTTTTAACCACAATAGTAATTGCTTACTCTATTGAAGAATTACCTATTACTGATCTTTTCATTAGATGTTTTTGAATTGATTTTTTTTTTTTTTGATGTTGGTTGATTGATGTATAAGTTCATTATTATTTTAGGCTGTAAATTGAGCTAACTGGAGGACTTAAAATGGAGGTCAATACTGATACCGTAAAAGATGGATCTACTTCTATTGAAATTGTTAACTCTGGTGAAATATCAGAATCAAATAACATTGATTCACTTGAAGTTATCTCGTCTAGTGGAGACATTGCACTACAGATTAGAACTGCTGCAGAGGTTTTGACGAAAATTGAACTAGATTTAGCATGTTCCTCAGAGAAGTTGGTCAACTTAGACTTACTTGTTATGTACGTGGAAGAGAGGGAATATGATTTTGAGGCTTTCATTTTGAAAGAAGAATCTACTCTGGAAGATTCTGATGAAAAGGCACTTGAATTCGATCTTTTATCTGGGATTTTGGACTCTGAGGTCAAAGAGCTGGATAATTTTCTAACCTCTCTTCAAACGGAGATTCTAAGTTCCCAAGGGGTTATATCTGTATTCGAGCAGTTCGGCGAAGCTTTTAAGGGAATGGAAGAAAAGTTATATGATTGTGAGGAATGCTTAAAGCAGTCATTTGAGCGGGTCACAGAAAAACGGGCACAATCTTCCAGATTCCAAAGGATCTTGTTGACTTCTGGCAGTGACGAAAACTGTGAGTTTGTTACATACTCAAATTTATTTTTATTTGTGAAATGTCATTGTATATATGGTGCTGCACAGATTTACACAATTTTTTTAGTGCTTAGTTGTTTTGAGTTATACTAGATCAAGTATCCCATGTGGAGTTTGGTTCCACGGTCCTTGAACTGGAATTGCAACATATAATTGAGTGGATTCTGATAATTTCTTGCTCTGAGCACCTTCTCCCTTGTTATCTGCAACTCGTTTTGTCAAAATGGGAGCAAATAAGTATACCTTTTTTACTTTTTTTTCTTAGTGGGTGGACTGGGGAAGTGCTGTATTTTTTTTATTTTTATTTAGTTATTGCTGCATATACGATGACATTAACATCTGAATTTCCTATCTTCAGCATAAAATAAAATAGTTCTTCTGTCTTCAGCTAATGATGATTGAACATACTTGACAGGGAAGGACAATAAAGAGGTGGTGAGTTTTGAGAATGGTGATCTTTTACACCAAAATACAAAGATAAAAATGAAGACTGTGGAAGAGCAGAGGAAAATTTTGCAGATGCTTGAGAAGTCTTTGGCCAGAGAATTAGAACTGGAGAAGAAGCTTAGCGAGTTTACGCAAACTGAAGAAGATTTAAATATTAAGCTGCAACAAGAAGTTTACTGCATAGAAGAAGAAGTTGAAGTTACCTTGGAAAGACTGTTTGAGTCAGAAAACACTGCTGAAATCCTGTTAGGGATTTCAAAAGAACTATTGGGACGAGTCCAGATTTTACAGTTTAATCTTAATGCTTCAATCCAGAGGGAAGAGGGTTTGAGATCTAAACTTCAAGATCTAAATGAACAATTGAAAGATAAAGAGTGTGCTTTACAAAACTGTGAGAGCACCCGGAGTGAACTTGTTGAAAAGGCGACTTCACTTCAACAGAAACTGAAAGATTTTGAGTCTCACTTGCAGACGGTGAAGGATTCTTCTGACAAGAATGAAGAGTTATCCGCTAAGATTCATGAAACTGAAAATATAATTGATCAATTGAAGGAAAAAGCTTATGATGCAGAACAAAGGTCTGAGAGTGCCGAAGCGGAGTGTAAATTGCTTAGAGAGTCTAATGTAGAGCTAAATAAAGACCTTTGTATCCTTAAGAGTAGCCTTTCTAGTTCAGATGAGAGGGTGGAAGAGCTTGAGAGGAAATTGAAGGACTCTGAAATTAAGCAAGAGCATGCAGTGGCGTTTGCTGAAGCTAGTCAGGAGAAGCAAAACATGTTAGATTGCATGGTTAAGGATATGGAGAATTTAATCGAAAATCTGAAATCAAAGGTTTCAAAAGCTGAAAGCAGTGCTGAGAATGCTGAAGAAAAGTGTATCATATTGTCAGAGTCCAATGCTGATCTTGTTGAAAGAATAAATTTTCTAACGAGTAGAACAGAAGACTTGGAGGCATCTTTATATCAGGCTGAGGAAGCAAAAAAGAAAACTGCAAAGGACATTGGCGTTCACACCAAATTTATAGCAGATTTAGTTGTGCAGTTGGCTCTTGAAAGAGAACGCCTACATAAGCAGGTTTCGTAGCCCTCCAATCTTTCTTATTTTGCACTCATAATTTGATCACTACTTGACAAGCTCCTTTATTTATCTTTTGTAGCCAATTATCTATCAATATCTTCCTTTATTGTCCCTCCCTCTTCATTACCAAGGTAGTTATTTTATTTTTATTTTTTCCCTCTTTGAGTAAGCTATGAGTTAGTTATCCTGGACCGCAGATCTTCTCCAAAGCCATTTAGAAATTTTGAGATCACTAGATGTTGAAGATCAAATTCTGATAGAAATGCATCAAATCTCTCCCTGAAGCCTCTGTTTTTATCCTTAAGAAATGTATATATTAAAAAAATGCTTGACAAAGGCTTGTTTCTTTATTAGATTGGAAAGATGTATCGAGATTGTCATCTGTCACAACTTTTTCCTTCAATTGAACACCAGATCTCTATGCTTTTATTTGAATTGACTATGTGCTCTTCTCCTGTTCCTCTCTCTCTCTCTCTCTGCCTTTCCAATGGCCTGTTCTATGAGTAGGAGGAAATGTGCTTTACTAATTGATGTTGTAATCCAAAATTCCAAATTGCAGGACATTACTCTTGTATATATAATACTTTCCCCTGATTGTTTGACAGTATCTTTAGATTCTGAGAGTAATGTTTATGCAGATTATATCATTAGTGAAGGAGAAAAGGCTTGAGGTAAAGCATTTGCCGGAAATGTGCGTGGATCCCACAATTACTACAACTGTGAATTCCAAGGGAAATACCAAAGAATCTATGCTTTCCAAGAATGACTCTAGAAATGCAACTTCTGCTGAAGAAAGTAACGAGCAAACTACCGAGTCTTTAGATACCAGTCATGAGGTATGTGCTTCAGTAAGTGTTTAATGTTTATTCTTGTCAATTCTTATCCGAATAAAACCAGAATAGATAAAGGAGGATGAAATCTTTTCCTGTTCACGAGTTGTATAAACTTTTTGATACTAAAAGTCCCAATTTTATACTCATATATATGTTTTTGAAATGACCAGTCAAAATACTAAGTTAATGGGATACAAATTTTGAAGTGGAAGTTAGCACAAGGTAGGTTTCTCACTTGTGTTACTTCTCTTTGTGCGAACTGTTGACACTAAATCATATTGTCTTAATTGGTTTTCATCTCCATGTCTTGTTCACTTGAAGACGTGGAAGTTCGGGGACAAGAAATTCCGTAATTTCACTTTTGTTCTCATTTCCTAGTAAATTAATTTCAATCTCCGATTTATTTTGTAATCTTTCCCGAACTTGTCTCCCTTGTCAAAGACATTATATGCTCATTCACTGCCGAAACATTTGCATATGCCTACCAAGAAATGGCTGTGTAATTAACTGCATGAAGAGATGGGACCGATAGAAAATGACCTGATGATTATCTTGAATGTAGAAACCTGCATTTTGACCATCTGATAGGTTGAATTTTAGCAACTGCTGTAAGATTTGTTTGGCTAAGCTTAGCAAAAGAAAATCACTTTTTAACTTTCTGCTTCCCAATACATTTAGATATTTACCTTTTTCTTACTTCAACGAATAAAGTTACTCTCTCTTACAATCAAAATAAGTACCTTATTTTAATTTTAACCAATAATTTTTGTTATTATTTTTTGACTTATTTACTCTTTCTGCTTTTGCTAAGCTTAAACAGCATTTTCAGCTTAGCTAGACCTGCTTTGGTTGAGGACCTGAGTTGCCCTAAGGAAATAGACGAGCTTTTAAGAGCTTTTCTATTGGATAATGGTGGTACATGTTAACTCCATAGGTGTATTGTCCTTGTAATTATGATGTTCTTTTTCTAGTTTCTACATATTGCTTTTCTCGAAACATTGTTGAGGAGCCTTATGATGACGTCAAGAGCCAAGTCTTTTTAATTAATATCCTTTTACCCGTCAAATGAGAGTTTTATCTTTTTTTTTTTGTTAAGCAATTCTAGAGGCTTCTTCTTCATTTTTATTTTTTAAATAGCATGCTTTTCTAATCCTAAAAATAAGTTGAAGTATTTTCTGCCCAAGTAAAGATTTGCTTTCTACAAAAGTAGGTTTTGTGCCCAAAAAGAAATTCTGAAATATATTTAAAAATAGGTAAATGAAAATTTACATTTTGACTTTCCAGCATCGTCTTTTTAGACATGGTGGTGGATTTGGTGGATTTGTTCGAGGTATCCACTAAGTCTTATACACCCTCTGTTCATAAAGATAGATTTGTTTCTTATATTTTTCTAATATATCCCTACATTAAATAATGATTTAAATAGGAATAGTTCATATTTGTTGATAACAAGGCACATGAAATAGGGAAATATTAGAAAATTAAGAAATCGATTATACTCTCAACAAGTGGCATATTATTTGGTACGGGTGAAAATGGAAAGCAAGCCTATCTTTATAAAATAGAGGGAGTATTATTTTTGTGTGAATTTCATTAAAAATTGTAGAATATGAAATGTTGTGATGGTTGGACATTAATTTATTATTTATTTTAGATGGGCAATAAGCTTGGAGACGCGACTACAAGTGAGACAAACATGGAGCGTGTTGATTCCACTGAGCTTGAGACGGTAAGGAATATAGATGCAAATGTGCTCAACTTCAAGTATGTCCTCATGGCACTTGTAGTGTTGATTCCTGCTTTTGCAGCTTATTTGTTTCAAAACTAGATGAGTAATCTTTATACTTCTAGCCGCTTCAGCTTCGTCGTGTTCCAAATATCTACATGGATTTTACATGTTCTTTTTAAATGATCATATAAAGTTCTGAAATAGCATAGGAAATGGAATTTCTTGATGACCAGAGTTGAGAAATGGTTTGATATATTATAGTAAAAACTAGATCCTCTTTAAAGGTGACTAAGTAAGGGTTTTCTAGAGGGCAACTTGTGGGCAAATTCCACTAGTAGAAATTTCTCAACATTTTCGTCTCCTCAACTTTTTGTCGGTATTTTTGCTATGCCTCCATTTGGTAGCAATTTTTTACTCCACAAAATTGATTTTTTGATTGTTGTTTTATCATTCTAGTTGTCATTTTTTACTTCTTCATTTACAAGTAAGATCCACCTTTGGTCAAAAAATCAATTCTTATAATCATTACCGAAAAGGTCCTATATAACCATACCCGATAATGATAAATAATTGTTTTCTTGTTCTTCAGTGAAGATGTGATTTTCCTGCATTTAAGAAAAAAAAATAAAAAATCAGTTTCTGTGGCTGCTTAACGAATGAATTTTAAACTTGATTAAAAGGGTAAAAAAATAAAAATAAATCTTTGATTAGGTAGAATCCGGGCTATGTTTCTTGGAAGTTTATTTTATATTATTACAACTTTCATATTTACTTAATAAATTATTTGGGATGTTGCTTTCGGAAATTTTTTAGTAAAATTACTCTAAGTTGTTGGCAATTTCTTCCAGCTTGAAGCAAATTTCTTATGCTAAGCAATGACTCGAAACATTACTGCGAAACAATCCTAATTATTTTATGATGATTGCAGAAGCGTGTAAAAATGAAATTAGTTGACTTTTTTCATCTAGTAGAATTATTTTATTTATGTTGAAAAGGTTGTCTTTATACCCTGTTTGATTGTGATTAAAATCTGAATTTTAAGTGAGACGTTGTTGAGTCCTTCCAGAAGATAAAGATTCATCATGGTAACGTATATGGACGTGCAAAATCTATTCGTTAAGTTAATAATTAATTTTGGCCACGTGTTTCGTGAGATTCATAATTTTTTAACTGCACATTTTATCAATTTTTATTAACTTTTAGAATTGGATTCTCTTATGTCATTAGAGAATTCAAGTGAAGGAGAGGAATATGCAAATATAAGAAGTCTCTTCGTTAACCTGGAAACTTAAAATTTAGTTAACATAGTTAAGCTCCTATTCGATGGTCATTATTCGGCAAAAATAGAAATTTAAATAGTGAATTTTTAGAGGATATATGATTTAAAAATTGCATAATGTTTTATTGCGTGAATATTTTGTTGGAAATGAATATGTAAAAAAAAAAAAAAAAAAAGTGAAAAAGGAGTTTTGAAATAAATTTAATCAAACAGCGGTAAACATAGTCAAATGAAAGTTATCATATGTTAATAGTCTCATTTATATAATAAAATTTTGAGGAATTTGCTTGAAATGTTCACATTTCACATGTCCATTTGTAAAAAATGTCCACTTTCACAAATTCTTGTAAAAATGTTCATTTTGAAATATTTTGAACCAAAATACTCCTATGAACAATTTATGATTTTACACAAAGACAAGAAATTGACATCTTTGTAAAAATTTTATGGGTCAATAAATTTTTGACACATAATCGTCATATTTATTTCAAAGTGCACATGTCAAATAACAATTAGAGTGTGTTTGATTGACATGGAAAATATCACCTAGAAAAGAAAATATTTTTCATCTTTTGTGGAAAATAAAAACCACCTCTACCCAAGGAAAATATTTTCCTTAAAAACAAGGAAAATTAGGCATATTTTCAAAAGTTGGAAAATGTTTTCTATGAAAAAAAATAGCAATCAAACGCTCTAAGTAGGAATTTGGGTGAAAAACTGATATTTTTCATGAAAAATAAATGTAATCAAACACACCCTTAATGTTATTTTTCTCATTGACACAGAAACGTTGAGAATTACATTTTAAGTATAAAGAATTGTCATGTTTGGAATGAAATGCCATTCTAGATATTTAAAATGTCTAGAACAACGTTTGAAATGTTGAGAATATTTAGTATTGTGATTTGACATGTGTATTTTTAAAATGTAAACAGGATTCAAATATCAAGAACATCATTTTAATGTAACTTCACATGGAAACTACTTCTCGAAATTCGCAACAAATTGAAAAAATAAATAAATTGCTTCTTCTTTCATAAATGGCATAATAGATAATTTAGTGATAAATTTAAAAAGTTGACATTTTTCAATTGACACCCATGAAATTAGACATTTTTGAAAATACCTCTATAATTTTCAGTCTAGTCTCGATAAATGCATAAAATAATAATTTTGAGTTAATTACACGAGAGATCACTGACCTTTGTTTTCGTAGAATTGGGTAATTGAATTTTATTTTGTAATAATCAAATATTGAACCCTATTTGGGTTTTGTTGACATGGATATCGAATTAGCTGACACATCAATCAAAACTAACAAAATCGTTAATTAAACCAGGAATAATGCTGGACGAATTATACTATATGTACATTATGGTATCCATAAAAGTGTCCATAATATACAAGTGATATAACATTTTTGGAGAATTGAAAAATTGTTTTTTCAACTCTTCAATCATGAAATTTTACATATACATTATGGACACTCTTATGAATATCATAATATACATGTAAATTATCCATGCTGAACAAACAGGACAAAAATAGAATGATGTGGCATACCATAATTGAGTGTTTTATGATGTCTTTTTCTCATTCTCTAATAAAAAAAATTGCCAAGTGTAGTTTGAAAATGTATTTCCGTCATTGACTCTATATATTAATTAATAATTACTCAAGTTTGATCCAAAATAATCTTTTAGCATTTGCAGTTCAAAGATTCGGTCAGTGATTGGGCATATTTTATTTTGAAGAAGTGAAAATTAAAATAATGCTCATATTTCGGAATTAATTGTTTCATTGATAACTGAACTTAGGTCCATATCTTTGATTGATCATTGAAATTTAAAATATCGAGTTTTGATCACTGAACTTAATTTCATGTCTTTGATTGCTTACTGTAATTTAAAATATCGAGTTTTGGCCACTGAATTTTAAAAAATATCGTACTTTACTCACTAAAAATACGATATTTTTCAAAGTTCAATATTTATGCTAGTGAGTAACGTATGATATTTTTCAAAGTTCTGGGATCAAAACTTGACATTTTAAGCTTCGTGAACAATCGAAGACATGTATCTAAGTTCTTCGATCAAAATTCGACATTTTAAATTTTAGTGATTAATTAAAGACATGAACATAAGTTCAGTGGTTATTGGAACAATTAATTCCTCGTTCCGCCACCTGTTTTGTTGAAGTTTTGTAGGCAAGGAAATCAAAAATATAAATGAAATCCCCTGTGCTTGACAGAACTTGCTTCAATTTCTTTCTCCAATGGAGGAGCTCTCCAATATCAACCGTTTACGCCACCGCGAACAGCTGCCGCAAACTCAACAAACCTCCTTGAGGCCCAATTCCAGCACCACTACTAGGGCCTATCAAGAAACGGAGCACGAAGAAGATGAATTGAATCGAGACAGCTCATTTTTGCTCGATTTCGATTCATTGGATCCACACAGTAATTCGAATTCCTATTTCTTTATACCGGATGAATACAACGCTAGTTCCAATTTTGGTTTCAATTTTAATGCAGAACCCGATAGCTGGGTTTGCGAGTATTCGGATTCCTTACCTGACCGAAATTGCCGTTTATGTCGAGAAGGATACGACGAGCCGATGAATTTTGTTACCGATCTGTTCGAGTCCCGCGAAGCCCAAATTCTGGATGACCCAATTCGGGAGTTCGATTCAGGTCTGTCGGAGGATACGAGGATGGAATTTGGGTTCGGTCCGGGACTTGGTTCGGATTCGATCCCGCTGGAGCTTGGGATTCGGGTTGAGGGTTCGAATGCGGAGTCTGATTTCGGTGAATTTGATGTAAATTCTGGGTTTATTGTTAATGATGATGACAATTACGAGAGCTTTGGGGTGAATGAATATCGTATTATTGAAAACCAAAGAGAAGAGTTTGAGTGGGAGGAGGTCAGTGAGAGAAACCAATTTGACGAGAGAGAGAATTTTGATTCCGTGATTGATCGAATTGGGGGAGTCTTGGTTTCTTCAAATGTTCCATCCCCAGAAGGCGAGAATTCATTCTTAGATGTAGCAGAAGGTGAATTAGAAGAAGATGACGCAGAAGAAGAAGAGAGAAATGTCGAGTGGGAAGTGCTCATGACAGCAAATAATTTGGATAGTGATTTTGGTTTCGAGAACCAGGAAGAATATAACAATGATCGTGAATTTGCTCGTTTTGATCTTCCAGATGATTATACTTTGACGATGGAACAATGGGTGGAGAATGAGAATGCTGTAAAGATTGGTCTTCCTGCGTCAAAATCCGTGGTGGAGAATTTGCCTTCAGTGGTGTTGACAGTTGACGAAGTTCAGAAGAACAATGATTCTGTTGTTTGTGCAGTTTGTAAGGAGGATGTTGCAGGTGGAGAAAAGATAACTAGAATGCCTTGCTTCCATCTTTATCATGGAGACTGCATTTTGCCATGGCTTGAGATCAGGAATACATGCCCTGTTTGTAGGTACGAATTGCCTACAGACGATGCAGATTATGAGAAGAGGCAGAGGGATAGCCGATTGGGGTGGTGATGGAGTTGATCATCTCTTGGTCGATGATTCTCAGGTGAGTAACAACAGAGAATTTTTGCTTTGAAATGGGTAGGAATGTGAAGAATATGGATTTATGGTGCATATTTTACCTTTTGGGATGATATAATATCGAACTTTTTGTTTTTGTACCATTTTACTTGGTTAACAATAATTGTTATTTTGCCAACATCTGCGGTTTCCTTAGTTTTCTTTCTTCCACATAGAGGAAATAGGGTAATTCGTCGGTGTACATGTATATGTATGTTGATTTCAGATTGCAAGTACTAAGAATTTATTGTTGGAATAAATTTCTCTTATGCTATTACCAAATGGAATTGAAGTGATTATACTTGAATGGCTTGTTTGGTTTGGTGGACTGCAAAACATATTTTGCGGTATTAAGAAAAGGAAACTAAAATTTTATTCATTCTACTATCCAGAAATATATGCCTAATATAAACCTTTTTCACTCAGGATTGAGTTGTTGGTGAGCATCTGTTTGATTTCCCTTTTTCCTTGTGATGTGATTAGTTTCAATTATAATGACATTCGTGAAGCAAGCATGGGAAATTGCTAGTGGTGGTTTACTCTTGATTCTCATCAACTGCTGTTTGCTAGAAGCACAGTATCTTCTCTCGCAATTCCAGTCGCAGCTTATTAGGACCTACTCAATTTATTTTAGAAATTTTTGGATCAATTATTAGACCATGCAAACTAGAAAGAGTCGGCGCATGGTCTTGAATGATCCATAGGCTTTGGGCTTCGATGGCTGGAACTAGCCTAAACTAAAGGGTGCATTCCTAAGGAGAAGCGTAGGCTCGGTGCTGATCTATCAACAACTTCCTGCATTTTGTTTGTGTACTAGGCTGAAAATGTTCTGGAATTAGAGTCAAGTGTTCAGATGAGCATGGTGACCTTTCAATAACTTAGTCCATGTAATTTTGGGTCAAGCTGGAGAATAATTCCAGACTCGGAAACACGCAACTTGAATAGCTTTTGTAGTCATTTTATTAGTGATTATGATAAATAAATTGTTACGGGATGGAGACCTTAGGTAGTATTTTACCAAGTGATTTAATGGAATATTTGGATTTTTTCTACTTATCTTTGACAAAGATGTAAAAGGATATGTCATTGTTACGACAGATGAAATGATGAAGGTAGTTTACCAAGCCACCCGCTCTGGAAGCTAGTTTCCAGGAAGAAGCAACTACTCTTTATTGGATTCAAGAAGTAAAAGCGGCATTTGTAGGGACGCAAAAGCGAAAGTCGCTTTTGGTGCTCCTATGTAGAATCTCTGGATTTCATCCCCACGCAACCCAGTTCAAGGCGTAATATTTCTCATAGAATCTCGAGTTTTCCTTGCCACTTTGTTATCTTCTTTATCTCCCGAGACATTACAGTACTAACGGTTTTCTTTTTCCAATATGAACCACCCCTTGCCCAGATCGATGCGCTCTCTATCTTTAATCTGAATTTGTACTTTGTTGATATATGTAGCATGGAAGCTGTGTGTAAATTTCTCTATTTTTAGCGTTAACTTTCAGAAGGATTTATTTTTGAAATATTTTTTTCCTATGTGATTAGCCTGCAAGGCCATTCATACAGGTAATGAATGGGTTCTTGAATTATTTCACGAGCTTTCACTATTAAAATTGTCGAAGTGAAATCTGTTGCCCTATCCTCTATCAGAAATTTGGAATCAAGAATTTGTGAAAAAAATGAAGAAAAGGTTGTGGACGAAAGGGTGTGGGTTGTTCATCTCTTTGTGGACGAACAGGTGCGGGCTTTGGTGGTTGTGGATTTGAGGTGGAAATGTTGTGGTGTGATGGAGGTGGAGGACATGGCGGTAACACCGGAGGTGGCGTTGGTGTTGGGTGGGTGCGGTGAAGCTGT